ATTGGCCTTTGCATTTGGATGATGCGTCCAAAACTATTCTAACTTTAGTTGTGTGACTACTAGGTTTCAATACCGCTTGGTGCGGAATATAGTATATTGGGCTTGTACAGGGATCTCCTTTCTTCACTTTTTCTATGATACCATTATTCAGTTGGTCACGGATTATCTTGCAATATTCTTCCCAAAGTTTTGGATTTCGATGTGCTAACTTGTATTGTTGATGTAGCCTACTCAGTGCAAGTTTGTAGTTGTTTGCCAACTTATCTTTAGTTACTTTCCATGGCAGGCGGACGTGTATCCTTTTATCGTGAATTTCTATAGTTTTGTAAAAATTCTCGATTATTTTTTCAGTTTCTTCTTGTTCCGATAGAGAGTTGGTAATTCCCATACTCTCTAAACTATATAGATTGGAGTAATCGAGTTCATCTTCCATTTGAGTGAAAAGCGCATGTTGTTCCTTGTATGTATCAGGTTTTGCATGTGAGTGCTTTCCTGAGATTGTGTATCCAAAGAACGTCAGGTTCAAGTAGAGACCTGAAGGAAGCCTTATTGGTTGCTGGTCGCAATGAATATATCATTGAAGTAATCTATACCAAGCAAAATGCTCGGTTGTGATGTATTGTTACTGTTGAACCTTGCGTTGTCAATCGGTAATTGTCTTCGTATGTAAGCGAGATCTTCCATAGTGAGGTCGCAAAAGTTGAGTCGATCTGTGATTTGATCCTGTGTTAATAAAGAGACATTCAAAATGTCTCCATGATGATTGATGAGCGTTGTGCTCACGAGTTTCGTGCTTTTTCGTTCTGCGTGACCCCCAAACGTGGAGACAACTATGGTTTGTTCGGAAGGGATTGACAAATTAAGTTTCTTGGTTACCTCTATTGTGATGAAAGGGGAGTCCGAAACGGAGTCAAGTAAAGCTGTTAGATTTTCCAATTTCCCTGTCACTTTGTTTCGTATGTACACTGGCACCGTCATCAGCCTAGTACATGATGGACAATCTGAAACTCTCAAAGCTGGAGTTGATGAAATTTTGTCTTGAACGAATGCGCCGGAGTTGTCTTTTGAATTGATATTTACTGAAGGGTCTTCCTCAGCTTCGAACCTTTGTATTGCAGCGTCTTCAGTGACGCCCGCATAATTAATGAATGTAGCCCTTCTTTGCGGTGAATTGCGAGTCAGTGAATTATGAGAAGACCTACTAGAGCTTCTGCTTCTGTCTCTAGGTAGTCGGTAATGTGTTTTTCATTTCTGGTCGTGCTGGAGATGCACTTCGTGATCTTACCTGGTAGTTGTCGCAATAATTTCGGAACGGGCGTGCAAAGTGTCTCCTAGGAGATTTACTTTGTCTGAATATCGGTGATCTTGAAGTTCTTGGAGTAAACTGATTCATTTGAGCTGGACTATCTTTTTGTTGTCTTCTAAAGGAGGTTCTTGTTGGGGATTTCAATCTCTGCGTGGTCTTCTCCCGCCAGTTGCCAGAAGTGTCATTCTTGTAACATAGTAATGGATGATGGTTACCATTGCAGTATTGACATTTTGGCCTGTGACAAAGGTGAGTTTGATGACGCTTGCTGAAGCAGATCAAACAAGCATTCAACTGCCATAATCTGTTTAGTTTTTCGTTGCGTGTTTTGTATCTAGTACAGTCTATAAATCTATGTGATCCGCCACAACCTGTACAGTTTAGTGACGGTGGCCTTGTTTGGATATGAAACGTTGATGATTCACTTGATTCCGCATCTCGTCCTTGAATGAAACTAATATGTATTCTTCGTTTTACGATGACATCTAGATTATCTAGCAATTCTGCCATCGTCCATATTCTGTTTGAATCGTACTCACGTTTTGCTGCTTCTTCCTGTACGGTTTTAGGGAACTTGCTTGTAACCGTTTGCAGTAGATTAGTGCTGTCTACAGCTTCTCCTTGTCTGCGCATCTCAGTGACCAATGTCAAGATATCGTTATAGGTATTCTGAAGTTGGCGTGGGTTATCGCCCAGTCTTGGTAGTGATTGCAATTTTCGCAGAAGCATTCTTTTATTGCGACGTTCGTCTTGATATTGAGCTTTTAGCTGTTGAATTGCTAACTGGTAGGATTTGGCGCTGCGCGGTATCATTTTTAGCGTTCGTTCAGCGTCGCCTTTACAGCATGCTAGTAGTATGGATAATTTTTCCAAATCAGAGTATGGTTGATTGTGTACCAATTCTTGAAATAGTTCCCAAAACGACTCGAATTCTGCTGGTTTGCCATAGAAATCGGGTACTCGTAATTTATGGCCATAGAGATAACGCCAAGAATGGGAGTGAGTCGGCCGGTCTTCCAGGTTGGTCGTTATACCAGCAGTTGTTTGATTGCTTTGTGAAGGTGTCTGATTGACTCCCTTTTGTTGATGATTTTCCATAGCTTGGAAAAGTGAAGTACAACGCTGACTTGTTTCTTGTGTTGATGGTTTTGAACTCTGTTTTCGCATTGATGAAGCCTCTAGTGCCTGCTGTTGGCACTCTAATTCCACAATTCTGGTCTCCAATTTTCGACGAGTTGAGACACTGATGTCCAGGCTTTCGTCTGCCCTTTTGTTTTCCCAATAAGAATCGAACTCTTTTTCAAGATTCTCTCCATATTCTGTGTTAATTGACTTGAAGGCTTCCAGGGCACGACCTTGATTGCTATATTCAGCCATGATTTGGTCTTCCTTTGTTTTCATTTGATTTATTAGGTTTTTCAATATTGCTGTGTTTGCTAGTATGAATTGAAGTATGTCATCAGCATTGGTTGGGTATTGCCAAGGTTCTTTGAAAGTATTTGCTTCATCGATCATGTTGGCAAGCTCATTGAGTTGCCTGGTCAAACGCTGCTTGCAAGATTTTATGTTGAACTCAGAAGTCATTTTTCAGGTACGATAGAGGGAGAAGATATTTCAAATGCGCAAGAGGATGTGTTCATCCCTTTATATAAGTAGTGTTGTGTTTGGTTAGATAGCGGAGGTTGATAGCGCGCATTTGTTTTGTTTCTCATGCCGATCCAATAAACATTTTGTGTCGTTATCTCATTCTTTTGCTTTAAAATCCGCTTTGTTTTGAGAATGCTTTGAAATCCGCTTTGTTTTGAGAACTTAATGACTAATGCATACCCCAACGCGTCGTTGGCGTCGTTGCTTTTGCTAAAGACCAGATACAGATAGAGTTCTCCTACAATTTGTAAAACTTGTTTTGGCAATAAATTCAATACCTGCGAAAGTTGGGGATATCCTACATGGCAGTTATTTCAGGTTGCCTGCCCAAGACAATAATTTCGGGTTATCTTCCCTAGGCAGTTATTTCAGGTTGCCTGCCCTAGACAATTATTTCGGGTTGTCTTCCCTAGGCAGTTATTTCAGGTTGCCTGCCCTAGACAATCATTTGCCTTTTTGGTTTGTTTTTGATGGAGGCGCCTTGATTTGATGATTTTAGCTTTGTAGCGCGATAGAGGAAAGTAGAATACGGGTAAAAGATTATCTGAGGTGAAGGTGATCAGGCTTCACAACATTTCGGTCGCAATTAGAAAGAAAAAAGGAAAGAAAAGAGAACATTAAGAGAAGAGAGGAAGTACTTGACAATTCTTCGCGCGTTTGTTTTCGAATTGATTTGTTTATGAACCCGGCTGATGCACCATGTCTTGGCCAATAACAACCGGTTCTAACATTTATTGATTGAAGTGGATTGACCAAGTGTAAGGTTCGTTAAAAGCATTGGATATCTCACGAGCTGCTCCCTCGTCCGCTTCTCTTCCTTTTATACCGTCAGCGGGCCCGCCTTCCTTACATCGTGAGAATCACGACAATGTATTCGCGTTTGTATATTTATATCGTTTCGGCTGTCCCTTGTATTTTCAGATATGTCCTCACTTGGCTATCAGAAAGCCAAGCTTACCAAAGCGGCGAACAAGTTACGTAAGAAGATTGCCGAGGTCGAACAGGCTAATCTGGAAACGGAAGCCCTCACCTTCGAGCCAGGCAAGGATTACGAAATTGTTAAGAATCGTATTGATTTCCTTGATCAATCAAGCTGTTTCTTCTTTGCGCAGCCAGTGGGAGAAGGCTAGGAGTTTGCTCGTCAGAACCCCGACGAGCAGGGGGAGTTCACCCTCCTTCATGAGATCCTCGCGCACTGGTCCAATGAGATGGATGATCTCTTGGACGAGGCGGACACTCTGCTTGACCGTCTGGGCAATGAGATCAAACTCCTGCCGAACGCGGATATACTTTATGATCGTTATGTTACATCGATTGCTTCCATGCACTCCGTCCCCAACTCTTTGTCTCGTGCGTCCTCTAACCAACCCTTGGTCCCGACTCAGCAGCTCGCGCAGGGTCCGGAGTTGGAGCCTTCCCTCATCCTCTACCCGGACAGGATCGTCCATCTGATCCATCGTTGGACGCGCCTGCTGAACGAGCCCCCATGACTGAAGCTGTGATTCCTCGCAGGGAGAGCAGTGTTCACAGCCCTTTAGCGGATCTGGCATTCCCCTGGGTAACCCTTCAACTGACCCCACCGTTTCAACAAATCCTTACCCTCCTGGGATTCCCCATCACCCGGCCATATCTCAATCCCAACCCCACTAACCCATCTTCGTCCCTGATTCCTCATCGTCCCACCTTGGAGGAGTCTTTTACCATACCCGCGTACGATATTCCAGCATTTCATGGCGACATAGCCAAATTTCCCGCATTCTGGAATATGTTAAAGAAGGCCGTGCACAACAACACCAGTGTACCAGTCTCCTTCAAGTTCATGTTACTTCAGTCACGCATGAAGGGAGAAGCAGCAGAGATCATTGCGGATTTTGAACCATATGAGGAAGACTACGATGAAGCAGTACGCATCATTGAGAGCACCTATAGTAGACCTGAGCTCCTACGTGATCGATTCTGAGAGAAACTCAAGCAACAGGCGCCTGCGAGAGACAACGCTACCTCTCAGCGTACCACTCTCTGCAGCATAAGAGCTGCTTGGGCCCAGATGAAGCGCCTTAACGAGGAGTCGCGCTCTATTGCCGCACTGAAAACAATCCGATCAAAGTTTCCACGACACACGTGCGAGAAGGTTGACGAGTTGAAGAAGAAAGGAGATTCAATGTGGACGGTTGATGAATTATTGGCAGCTCTAGACGACGTGATAGATCAGCAGGAGAAGATCGAGGACACCGTCCCAGAGTACTATCCTACTTATAACTCCGACTCTACAGTTCGTCATAATTCTCCATCTCCACGTAGGTATCCCAGTAAGCAGCCGTACAACAGGTCTCTTCGCACTATCAGTCACCTTCTTGCCCTAGTCGTTCGCGCAGCTTACCTTCACCATTCAGATACCAATCCGTTCGAAGTCGATCGCCGACACCGTATTACCCGCGACGCTCGTCGCGCAGTCCAGCACGTCCGCACTGTCAGGAATACCGTTGCGCTTTCCGCGAGCGCGTAGGACACCGACAAGAAAATTGTTTCGAAGTACGTAGCGCAAACAGCGCAGAGCATTCGTTAATCAGAACGGACTTTGCTGGTTGTGCCTTAACCAAGGTCACCTGTCACGATTCTGCTCACCTTTTCTGTGCGTATATTGTGGCAGACCTCACTACCCCGCCTTGTGTTTGGAAACACCACGAGCGTCTCACCCCTATCGGCCATCGACACCTGACTATAGATGCCCATCTTCGAGACGCGTTCATTTTCATGAAGACAACTGTACTTGTCACCGTCCACAGCGCAATTCGCGCACACCTTCGCCTACTGCAAGGAACCGAAGATCGCCTTCGTCACCGAAGCATCAGCAGCGTTCGCCTAGCACGAAGCGTATAAGTTTTGGTCGACGAGCAAGTGCACCTCCCATTTCGCAATCCATCTGCGCTCCGACTTCGCAGCCAACCCATTCAGATGTGCGTTTAGAGTTGCTGGATGAACACCAAGCTCAAGTAGGCCCACACTCACCATCTTCATGTGCCACATCGTGCGAGGAGATGTCCGCAGCACAAATGCCACGTCTAATGGTAGTCCATGCTGTAACTCGCAACCGTATAATTGCGAAAGTTGAACTACTAACAGTCTTTCTGGATAGCACGTCTTTGGCTCGCCATCTAGGTTTGACGTTCACGATTACCCGGACTATTACCACCTTAACATTCGGAGGACATCGACTTACGGAAAAATCGTCGGAAGTCACGCTCACGTTATGGGATCAATTCGACCACCCAATCACGCTCCAGCTTTGGACGCGCGACGTAATAACCACGGTTCCACAGACGAACAACGACGACGATGCCGCTAACGACTACTGTGATGAGAGAGTCGAAGTTGACGTGCTCATCGGGATAGATAATTACTGGCGAATTGTGGATTTACACCGAAATGAGGAACTTCCATCAGGTCTCATACTATCACATACACGATTTGAACCAGTGCTTTCTGGAGCTGCCTATCCTGAAGCGTCGAACATTACTACTTCGGCAATGACGATACTTGACGACGACGCGCCAGGAACCGAACAACTCGTACGAAGTCTTCTTGGCTTGGACACAGTCGGATTGGACGATAGTGAGTGATCAACAGATGCCAACGTCATCAGGCAATTTTACGATACAGTTAGGGTCATGGATGGTTCCATCTTGTCAAGTCTTGGAAGTCTGACCATCCTCCACTGGCAGACAATAAAGCCTTGGCATTCCGTCGTCTGGAAAGTCAGTATGACAAACTCCGTGCATTACCAACTGCTTGGAGCTAGTATTGCCAGACGATCCTCGCGCAGCTTCGAGCCGGTATCATTGAGAACGTGACAGACGTGCTACCATCTAGTCCCAAAACTTATTATATCCCGCATCAAGCAGTGTATAAGGAGGAAAGTCTTACACCCAGTTGCGCATAGTCTTCGATGCGTCTAGTCATCAGAAGGGACACCCAAGCCTGAATGACTGTCTACATCAAGGACCTTTCTTACTGCCCGACCTTATAGGCACGTTGTTGCGAAGCCGTTTTCACCACTACCTCATGATCGCTGACGTAGAGAAAGCGTTCCATCAAATCCATCTGCACGAAGATGAGCGGAACGCTACGAGATTTCTCTGGCTTAAGGACGTCAGCATGTCACCCTCCAGTGATAATCTACGTATTCTACGCTTCACGCGGGTACCATATGGCATCAACGCATCACCGTTCCTACTGAGCATGCGATCAGATACTTCCTCGAGAGGGATCCTGCCAACCGCCTAAAAGAAGAGATCCTTACGAACACTTATGTGGACAACGTGATTGTGGGTGCAAACAGTACCAAGGAGTGTGTGTCGAAACAGATGGAATGCGAGGAGATTTTTTCGCGCATGAGTATGAATCTGCGAGAGTTTATGTCGAACAACCATCAACTCATGCACCAGATTCCAGAAGAGGATTGTATGCATGTTTACGGACGATACGTCAAGCTTCTAAGAATCAAGTGGGATCCAAAGCACGAAACGCTTCATGTTCTTATGAAGATCGCCGGACAACAGGTGTTGAGCAAGAGAACAGCATTGCAGGCTTATGCTTCCACTTTTGATCGCTTAGGCCTTCTAGCACCGTTGCTCATACGAGCCAGAATGTTTATACAGGATCTTTAGGAATTAGGTCACTCATGGGACGACCTCGATGGGATACAGCACGAAAGTGGAATGAGATTGTTCAGGAGATCAGCAGCTTTCATCTCAATGCACCTCGTTTTGTAGGACATACGTCGTCTAACACGTACGATCTTGTAGTTTGCTCAGACGCTTCAAAACGAGCGTACCGTCTGCGCCCCAGAGAGGTTCCCATGTGAACCAGCGTGCGTACGTGGTGCGACGCTGCCTTTCGCTCTTTTTGACACGTTTCTCCTGAGAATTCAACGGAAGTGCCTGATGTTAACACGTTCAAAAGTGCCAAAGGCAGCGAGTTGACGTGGTACTTATCGGAACCTCTCTGGGACGCAGACGATATGCTGTTGCAGTTTATATCGTGACCGTCCATACGGGCAAAAGCCAACTTCCACCTTGCTTTTCGCTAAAGCCAAGCTAGCACCACCAGGCGCGATTACCATTCCGCGCATGGAATTGCTCGCTTGTCATATGGCCGCGAAAACAGCTCAGTTCCTAGGAGGTCAGCTGAAGATCCAACTCTATTCCATCCGGTTTTTGACGGATTCCCAGATAGTCCTGTACTGGATTCAGACGTCTAAAACGCTCAAGACATACGTTGCCAATCGCGTCAACTATATCCGGCAAGTATTGAGCGAGTTGAAGTCAAGTAACATCGACAGTGGATTTTATTACATACCTACCGACAACAACCCGGCAGATTGCGCCACCCATGGATTGACAGCCGCAGAGCTCGAGAAGCACATATGGTGGCGTGGACTTTCCTTTATCACGACCCCATTCACGGAGTGGCCGTGCAGAAGCTTTGATTCATCCTCAGCACCACCTTCAGGAGGAGAAGCGGAACTAGTCAGAACGAACTTGGGAGTCGTAATGACAACAAGTACCATCTTGATGCCTTATAAGTCTTTCGTACCTTTCAGACGTAGGAACTCCTATATCCGGCTGACTCGCATCATCTCATACGTCCTGAAGTGCATAGCTAAGTTACGTCATCGTGCGAGGACGCGCAATGCCGTCACCGAGCCTGACGAGCACCGTTTGTTTGGGACGATAGACGCCACAACCATCAGCATAACATCTAGTGATATGACTGCTGCTGAACTTGTGCTCATACGCGAGCATTACCGCGAGGAGAGTCAGCAGTTGAACGGATCATACGTGAAGAAACTCCGTACACGGCACGAAGAAGACGGTACCATACGCGTGAACCTACGCATGGCTAATGCAGAGCAGAATGAGCCAATCCTCATTCTTTCAGGTCATCCGCTGTGTACCATGCTCGTATCGCACTACCACAGCAAGCTCTTCCACCGTGGCACGTCGCACTTGATCGCAGCCATACGCGAGAGATTCTTCATCCCCAAGCTTAAACGTTTAGTAACATTTGTTATTGCTAAATGCGTGACGTGCAGACGGCATCAAGGCCATTTTTATGCATATCCACGCGCACCGGATTTCCCAACGGAGAGAGTCACTCGGAGTCGTCCGTTCCAGCACATCGGACTAGACTATTTCGGCCCTGTCGTTGTGCGAATCCAGGAAAAGTCTCTGCAGAAAGTGTGGGTGTGTCTCTTTACGTGTATGTCTACCCGCGCTTCACATTCCGAGGTAGTGAGAGACAACTCTACGCTTCAGTTCATCCTGGCCTTCAGAAGATTTATAGCGCGCAGAGGAACACCCGACAGCGTCATTAGTGACAACGCGCCTACGTTCAAGCTAGGGAAGGAGATTACCACCAACTATCTGCCGACTTTAGGAGAACACTCCGAAGTTAAACGATTTGCCATGGATCAAAACATCACCTGGAGCTTCTACACCGTAGTCGCCATGGAAGGGAGGAATCTACGAGCGTCTAGTAGGATCTGTCAAGTGTAGCCTGAAGAAGGCAGTACGGAAGGAGACTCTCGACCTTTGACTGTTCGAGACTCTCATTTTTGAGATAGAGGCGGTCCTCAACACCAGGCCCCTCTTCCCAGCCAACTCGACGAACCGGACGCTGTGGTTCTGAGACCCATAGATCTCATAAACCCTCAGTTTAGACTAGGACTTAATTACAACCTGCCCAAACGCATTAAGTCATCGTCAAGTGATAACTACGAGTCGCTGTGTACGCGCTACAACGCGCTTAGAAAGGATCTCGACCATTTCTGGGATATCTGGCAGAAAGACTACCTTGGCGCGCTTGCAAATAGAGAAGCAACGCGCTCACGAAATGGACGAGGAACAATAGTACCACCACGCGTTGGAGATATAGTTATCATACGAGAACAGGATGTTCCAAGATCTATATGGCCTTTGGGCCTCATTTTACAGCTGCACACATCCCCGGATGGACAAGTAAGACCAGCGAGAATAAGGACTTGCAAACGACACATACTCGATCGTGCTATCAACCATCTCGTACCGCTCGAGATCAGTGCTAGGCACGTGGAGGACATTCAGACAAGCAAACAGCAACGACAATCTACGCGCAAGCGACCATCGAGGAAAGTGAAGTCGAAGCATTGACCCTTACAATTATTAATTTCTATTTTTATTTATAACTTTATATACTTTTACTTTAATTAAATTTTTTTCTTTCTCTTTTCTTGCTTTTTGATGTATTTTTTCCTTTTCTGTCTTCTGAATCCTAGGTCACATGCGTCGCCTCTCGATCGCCCTCCGTCAACTCAGTCAGTTCCCCACCACTCTACAGAACTGCCCTTCTTACCATCTGAAGGCGAAGCACTGTTACGGTCGATTTGCCACACGGAGAAACGATGCTGATGAGCAACTTTTATTTCCTTTTTTGCTTCCTATATGCATCGACCTTTTTACCCGACTAACAAGGGAAGGAAGGTTGGTCGAAGTGGGCTTTTGAGATGAGGTGTATACCGCCTTGTAGAGCTTAGAACGCTGATTCCAAATCTACCTTCGCTATCTGCTGCGGGCTTCTGGGCGAGGAGTTATAAAGGTTTTTGTGAGTAAAAATCTGAATGCAAAAATAGGGTAAAATCAGTCGTAACCTTTTCCCAATGTTCAAATGAGGAAGCAGCGAACTGGTATATTTGAATCAAGAATATATGGTGCACCGAGTGACCCGACTACCAATTAAGCCCTGTAAAAAATGTTACGACTGATTTTAGCCTACTCTTGCATTCAGATTTTTACTCACAAAAAGCTTCATAACTCCTCGCCCGGATGCCCGCAGCGGATAGCAAAGGTAGATTTGGAATCAGCGTTCCAAGCTCTACAAGGCAGGACACATCTCATTTCAAAAGGCCACTTCGACCAACCTTCCTTTCCTTGTAAGCCTTTTTTCGGTAGTTGACGCGCCTAGGTCGCGCTTCACAGTTATTTGCGCCTTTAGACTCAATACTATAGCATTTGCCACATATGCTGCCTTGCGTAGTCCACTTTCACGCTATAAGACTCATGCTGCGCACGTTTGCTCGCGGTGCTCCAATCTGGCCGCGGGAGGCTGGACTAGCACTTAGCATATATTTTTCATCTTGTGGCGCTGCTATGCAAAAAACAGTATGCTTAGGTTGCAGTAACTGTTGAATTTTTGCGCTTAGGCGTATCCCATTGCCCTATACCATCAGTGACATCTATCTTTTTTATCCTTGCGCTGTAAAAACATCTGCAGTCGCGCTCGCGCGCCCGTACTTGTCTTTTAGGGTTGCGCAGGTGAGGTTTTAAGGGTATGGGGCTTGACTGAAGAACCTTTCCTCTAGATCCAGGACACTGTATAGTGAGCATGGTTCCTTTTTACCGCTTTTTGACGTCATAAAGATCATGAGTTACCATACAGTTCCATCAATTCGTAACGCACTTGGTCAAATGGAACCACGCATGTCTCTTGCAAATGCCGAGGAAATGATCCTGAGCTCCTCCACTGACGAGCAGCAGCCTCCACCCTATGCAAACAGTCTTGTTGATCATATGTTAATCACCTTTGTAGTAGTTTTTCGTAGTTTAGCCATTCTCATATTTAATCACTTTTACATAAGCACATTTTAGGCACCTCATATATTACCTCACTGTTTATTTACCTCACCTCATATAATAGTCACGTCATAGTTATTTTGAGTTTTATCCAGTCATGTGTGTCGTATGCGCTCCGTGCGCCATTTCTGAAATTTGGAGGTGTTCACACGGGACGGGTTGATCCTTAGTTTTCCATCCTTATTTGCACGCCTCCTACTGTGCTACCGATGAGTATATCTTTTACCTCTACCATCTAATACTTCAGGCAAAGTTGGAACCGCAAATCCCCGGTGTCATCACGTAACCACCTTTCGAACGCTCACGCCACTGCTTCGGGGGGGGGGGGGGGAGTGTCGCGTCTCGCGATGCAAGGCGCTCCTCGAAAGTACGGAGGCCGGGGGCATCGGTTACCGCGCTATCCGGCGACAATTCCGGCAGCCGAGACGCGTGTTGGCCGTGATCGTTTCCGGACCTCTCCCTTATTGGCTCGTTGCCAGCCACTCAGATAATCGCCGGGGGCAGGCGGCCAGGCGATTTTTAAGCAAGCGGGCACCGGAGAAATAGTCCGCTGATTTCTTGCGGTCCGCTTGCAGATATTTGGAAGAATTTTAGCGAAATTTTGGACGAATGCTTGAAGAACAATTGCGGTTTCCTTGCAGATTAGCTGCGGCGCAGTGGCCGCATTCTCGCGGACTTTCCGCGAGAATATGCAAAATTTTCGGGGGCCGCACGGTCCTTCATGGAGGACCGCGCAGCCCCCAGGTACTTTCCGCTGAGAGAAAGTACCTCAAACTTGAGTAATTAAACCATCGATGACACCTCTGCCATGTAGAGTCTCACCTTTGCTCGGCGTACTCCCGAAACTGCTTTAAAACCGTCCGATCGCCAGGTGAAAATTTGACCAGCGCTCGCTGAAAGAGATTATTTGACGAGCGCCTGCAGAAAATTCTGTGTTGCTGCCCGCTGGCAAACATTAGACAGTAAAGGAAGCGCCGCCCGCTGAAGGTTTGGCCACGCCCCAAAATTCTGCTGACCGCCTGCAGAAAAACGCGAGTTTGCCGACCGCCTGCCCCCGGCGATTGTCTGAGCAGGCGGCTATATAAGGCGGCAGCGCCTCATTTGAGTGCCATTGTTCGTCTTCATTCTTATTGATTGATTTCATTTCTTGTTCGAATAACATTTCAGCCGCGTTGCTCCTGTCCTTCTTTTTGTAAGAGCAGTTGAGCCGGAAGTTCTTGGATTGGAAAACGGATTCCTTTTTGTTAGCGCAAGTCGACGCGCCTACTACTAATCGGAAATCATTTACAGGAGCTGGAGGGGACGTGCCGTCGTCTAGGGGCTTTGGCGTTGCGCGGTGGATTTGTTGCGCGAACCCTCGCGAGCCACATGTATTTTGAGTTTGTTCATAGACGCACATCGGTAGCATGGGACGGGCCCTCGTCCCGTGTTTAACGTTGTAGTAGCAGTAAATTGTTTTGCTTTGGTGTAGTATTCTTTTTCATCTGTTCTAACTGTAGTTTAGTGTCATAAGGATAAACCACTTAATTAACATCATGTTCTGTTCAGTCGCGCGTTAGTGCGCAGTAGGCTAGGTACGTCGCTTAGTTCGGGCAAGCATCAGGCCTCGGGCTACATCTAGGTGCCATGAGCCCGCCGAGTCGCCACAACATGGTAGATCAGAAAGCAAATATAGCAATAAGAAAGAGTATAAAAATATGATTTAAATGATACCTAAATCGTCCATGAATTGGTTCTTTGGGGTTTAGTGAGCGATGAAAAAAACCGACAAAACTTTTGGGACAACCTAATATTTCGGGGACGTAGCTGTAGCCACGCCCCTTTTTCCTGAAAAATTTTGGGGTTTTGGGCCCACAAACATTTTCAGAAGCATTCCAAAAAAAAATTTGTCTCCCCCCCCCCGAACAGGAATACTGGGTGCGCACTGGCATACAGGTATTGGCCATCGACGCAGAGCGCGGTGTTGTACACTGTGCATCACTCCTCTTTCCTCGTGCGCTCTCGTTGCTTTCTTTCCCTGTGCCTCTTCCAGTAATGGACTATTCTCGGTGAACGCAAATGAACGCGCTAGCGTTACTCTCCGAGCAAAGCGCGGTGACCTAAGCACCGCCTCGGCCAGCAGACGAGATCGCGCAGGCAGTACAGTATGTGGCAGCGCATGTTCAACACGTTACCCTTCTTTATCCTGCTTCGAGTTGTCTTTGTGGTATTTTCAATGAAAATAATTAGCGATCTATTACACCGTTTCATAGGCTCGTAGGGTAGGTTTTTATGAACTAACGTATTGATAAAATTGTCAAAAATCAGTCGATAATATATGTTCCATTGTTGAGCGCCAGTTTGTTTGATTTACGAGAGTCCAGGGCAAATGGTAGTCTTTTGAAGCGAGGTCTCAACAGCGCCCTGCGTGCTAATGTAGCTCCCGATCAAGTCTTGCAGAATAGTTTTGACGACGTTTGCCGTACAGAGCCATTTTTGCCGCGCAGAACACGCTGGACCTGCCCACTAGGTTTTTTTTGCAGTATGGTTCCATTTATACGGGAGACGGTCAAGAGGCGCGATTTCTCCGGCTGTCACCAACTTAAAACTCCAGTTTAGTGCTATGCGAGTCTTCAAAAATTACCGGATAAAGTGCTTTAGCTTACTATCTGTCTGAGGTCACCATTTGCTGAGTTTCATGGTTTTTGCTATAAATCGAACTGAAATATTTACGAATGTGTTCTGAAATGCATTTTCATGAGTTTTTGACCTTCAAAATTGCTGTTTTGAATTATTTCTAGATTATCAAAATTGAACAGCTGATGCAACTATCTAATATATTTTCTTCTAGATTTCATATACTTTTAGAAAGTTGCAGAACACTTATTATGTGCTATTTGGTGTCCAGCTGGCAATAAAAATCGCGCCTCTTGACATACACCCCATTTATACGGTGCATTTGTGTGCAGGGTACGGTTGACCGTTTTGTTGCTGTCCGGCAGTTTTCAGTGCAGGATTTCCTGCCCGTCCCCGTAGAAGTCCCGTCCAGAGGACAACCCTTTTAACTCTCGCTATTCTGAAACAATCCCATTCTTTTTTGTCTCATTTTGATGTGCAAACATTATTTTCCATGATTGGCAGAAAAATCTAGGCAAAAATGTGTAAGAAAAATGCGCAGACATCGAAAACGCGTCTTTTTGGCTTTGAAGGTTTCCATTTTTGGAAAGGGAAATTGTACAGCTTTCAGAAGTGCAATAAGCTCATTTGAAGGATCATGTACAGCCGTTTTCAATGATATCGCAGTTTGCCGCAAATCGCTCTCCGCGGAGAAATGAGAACGAGAATGAAAACTCTGCAAACTTATGAAACGACCTAATATAAACTTCTGAGCTTGAAGGGCCGCGCATACATCAGACGATGTCATTGCCTCGCGATTCGACAAGACGACCATTACGAGTTCATTCCCGATCATCTTGCACTGCGGGTGTAAAAGTTCTCCGAAGCTACTAATCGCGACTAATTTTCACAATCAGAATGCGGAGTGATTGTCCTACAATGGATTCTTAGCCGTTGTAATAAGAATTGGGAGGCCATAGCATCGCAAGGTGTATGCCGGCCCTAAAGTTAGGATGTGAGGTACGTAAATAAGCTATGACTCACTGACTGATGCAGATAATAAACTCAATGGTAAGAAATGGTTCAATTATTATACTTCTTCTCTGCTTTTAGCAAAAGGACGGTCTGACCCGCGCTCGTGCGCAGCTGGCAAACTAGCAACTGGCAGAGTATCGTTATTCTTGACCGTCATCCTTCGAGAAATGGAGCAACGAGCACCCGTGCTGCACAAGGTGTAGCACGCCAATTTTGGTGCGCGATTTCACGGTCCGAAATGTTAATGCATTTTGGATTAGTATATACAACATTTTGATAAATTTTGCGCCTTTTAGTACATTTTTGTGCTTGTTGGGCAACGTACAGGCCCCGTAAAATCCAACTGCCCACGCGTCGCTTTGAACACCAAGGCACGGCGCGGCTGGGAACGTTTGTCCCGAAGCGCTACAGGCTTCTTGCGAGCGACAATGAGCGCGCACCCTTTCCACACATATTTTTTTAAAGTTGTGAAGGGAGCTTTCGTCAAGATATACCTTGCATTGACGAGAACAACATGAAAACTAAAGAAAGATTTCCTGGAATATAGTGAACGCCGACAGTCGTTCGCAACGACCGCTCGCTTACGCTGGTGTTCAAGGCACGGCGAGGGCAATTAGGTTTTACGGCGCCTATACTTGACAACGTGCTCAGGTAACTAATCACTGAATGGATGATACATGAACTGCTTTCCACGGCTATAAGACGGTACTTCAAAACGGAATAGGATAGCGAGAATTTGCCCCTTTCATCTGCTACCCTCAAAAAGTAGAGAGACCCAGATTCTCCAAAGAACTCAGTTTACTTGTTACCGTCAGGCAATTTCTTTCGCATACGTTTAGGTTATTCCGCAAACCGTGCATGTTTTCGAAGAGGTTGTAGTATACCATTTACAGCTACTTTCTGTGAATGTCTTGGCTCTTGTAGGCAGTGTGAACGACTTGACTTCCACTTTTATTGAGAAGAAAAATATACCTATGGAAAGAAAGGGAAAGAAGATATATATGTACATATTGTGAACTAGCGTAATGATCTGACTATAAGGCTATATGATAGCATCCAAGAGGTTTGCGCACTTCGTTGAAGACTGTACGGGGAATCAGCATCAGCAGAGACGTAGACTATGGTATCACGATTTTGAGTAGAAATTGAATCATCGAAACAAAACTTGCATAGTAAACACGATTCCATGAGAACAATATTGAGATATCCGTGAAAACACTTCGAAGCATACCTAGGGTTCACCTTATTTGGTTTTCGTTCTCTAATTTCCAAATGAACGTTATATAGTCAACTCAATTGGATAGGTGGTACCTTTGGATTGATATAGCTGTGATGAAAAATGCAACCAGCATTTAGAACCGGGGATGTATGCTGATCTACTGAATGTTGGTAAGCAGCATAGATGGCACCATAGGGCCTAATTTGTTGATAGCATCACAATTCCATACCCTGGGCCTCGTCCTCTGAGTAGTCTGACATGCTTGAGAGGTCCGAATCGTCATCCGGTTTGTCCATGTGGTAATCAGGCTTGCAGGATGTTTCGTTGAAAAAACGACGGAGTGCATCTTCAGAAGCGAAACGTTCTACGTAATCTGAAATACTGGGATGGCAATTGCATTTAGAGAAATTTCAGGAAATTTGATATATGAGAATAGAATTTCAATATGTACGGCCAAGAAAATTGCTTTGATAGAATGTCTGTCTAAAGATCATTCCTCGAAATCAGTTCATATACAAGAATTCGTTGTTTCCCTCCAAGGTGGAGCAAAAAGATGGCAAAGGAGCCTCACATTTTTGCGGGATGTGCTACTTCTCCCACGATTTTGTTGTTCAATAATCTGCTACTACTTTGCACAGAAACCACCAGTATATCAAAGTAGCAACCGATTTTCATCCAAACAACAACAAAAACTGAATCGCTTCCTTTATCAGAACGTTTTTCTTCAGCACATAAAAATGTCATTCCACTGGACTCACATCATTTTGTGACACGAGCTAAATCAAGAAAAAAAAATCAAATCAATCGAATTTTTACCGATCCTCCAAGTTTTCCCATTTCAAATCACTCACATATTTTGTTTGAATTGCTATAACATCGTACTGCACTTTTCAAAAAAAAAAATGACATGGCGCACAAAATCGAGACTTAGCAAGAGTTATAAAAATATCTGTTTCATATCCTAAGTGCTTATCTATACTATCATAAATTTAATCATCTCGCAACAAGGAAGTTTTCCCACTTATCCTAAAAAATCCAATGTGGTGAAAAGCGCATACGTACTTTCGATACAAGATTAAGATGATTCTCTACCACACACAAGAATTGTGGCTTCTTTTTGAACTGAACTTCCGTTTCCTTTCAATCATTAGTCATAACATGATGAGAGGGGAAAAGTGCAATGTAATATTCACTGCTATGAGCATCACATTCCGAACACGAGCTAGTACTTTTGAGACGCGTGACGTTCTGAACCATGTGTTGATATACGCATACAGATGTTACGGCTCAAAACCTTGACCAGAAAATGACGGATGGAAAATACATAGCCGTAGTCAACCTAACTATGGAAGATTATATGAGAGGCACAAACTAGCCAAGAATCCCCAAACAATTTGATACGAGTCTCAGGAATGGCTGCATGGCCGCAAAAATCTCAAAAACTCCAGCTCCATTGACCCAATGCGCTAACCACAGCTACTATAACTCCAAAAAAGGATTGTATCACATTTACAGTGGATTTGTAATATAACAGTTCCCCTATGTAACTCGACCATTACTCTCCCAGCCTCACAGCATATTTTCTTTGAAAAATGAAACACTCTAAAAAAATGCAGAAAAATGCCGCTACAAATCACAATCAAAATAGCCGATTAATTACATCTTTGCATCGATATTGGCGAGATGTTTCCGAAAAAAAAAGCAACTGTCAAAACATGCCATCACGAGGTCTTCAATGTTGGCTGTTTACGTTTTATTTGAGCAAAACTCATAGAAAATGTATCCCAATTCAGTAAAAATCGAAGTTTCCCCTAAATCACTAGGAAGTAGGATCACAGAATTTCCTCACTTACAATCTTAACACAATGACCCCAAAACAATACAATTAGCCTATCGTATCATGTAAGCCATGTTCCAGTCTTCTCCCTCGCACAGGAAAACTTCAAGTGATGTTTGCGAACGCCCAATCCCCTATGTTACACGCTAACAGGCCCCTTTTTATGGATTGCAGCTGCGTCACAGACCTGACGTGCGGCGCAGCGTTTGGACCTCAAGCGAATGCACTTTTTTCAAGCCGAGTCTCAGCCCATGCGATGCCTGTTAGAAATAACCACTAATCTTCCTTGTTGACGTTTGCAGTACGGCAAACAACTCTTAGCGATGCACAAACTTACTTTTGAAAAGCGTGCAGATATGAAAACCGACGTTACTGACGCAAACTCGCAATCCGTATTTTTGAAACCAACAAACGAAAATAAAAATTTGTTGCTAGACTCACTCGTCCCCAACTTCAAAAACCAAAACCATTTGTATGAATAAATAAAAGCCAACCAGGCATTCTGATCCCAGCGCATAGAACGCACAAATTCACTTTGATCTCCTACGTCACAGTCAGCTGTCTGCAACTTTCACCTCAGAAAAAGCCTTTGCGAGCAGCTGACGTAGTTTAACAGAACTTGAACGTAGTACTCTTGCTATCGTAATTTCTTCGTCTTCAAAAATCTGCAGTTTTTTCGTCCAGCGGCACTAAGACTACATCAGGAATGTAGCATAGGAAACTTCCTTAGGGCCAAAAACGAGTACAGCTGCACGAATGAAAGGTAATGAAATAGAATGACAGAAAATCGGTCAAAGGAGTATTTCTCTCCGCAGAGCATTAGTTATTCCGGTGTTGAAATTTGGAAGTTACTAACGTCAAGCGCGCTGTCAGTGAAATGCTGCACTGTTACATGAAGGAAGATGAATTGTAAGAATCTTTGTCAAAGGAAATTTTTGGAAACCTGTCAGGAGTTTCTCGTCTCCACACACGAACCGGTTTAGCATAACGGATACAAACATCACTAATAAGTAATACGGTAGGCTACACGACAAAAAAGTTCTCCGTTGCTTATATGTACAGTCTTTGTAAAGAAGACTATTTTTTGTAGCAAGATACTGAAAACCCTGATTACCTGTTAGTTAAACAAAATACTGTTCTCTAGCAAATCAACTATACCCTTGCACTTCTTCTTGAACTCTTCGGGTTTATGCAGATAAAGGGCAGCAGCATCTCCGTTGAGCGGGTCCGTAGGGTTCGGATAAGTGAGCAGTTGCGGGAGGAATGATTCAAATATGTTCGCTAAGTCATACAGAGCTGTCCATGCCTAGAAAGGAAAACATTTCGCATGTGGTTCCAGGGATAATACCAGAAAAAAAAGTTAAATGTTTTTCTTCCAAAGAGGAACCCATCAGCGAAAATCCCTAAACACATACTCATCAGATGTGAAATTAAATTCAAAATTTCGCTACAAGAGAACATGAGTGGGTGCAGAATCGGACCGTTCTGAATATTAGCTAGGTCCAAAAACACCATTTTTTGAGAATTTTTTTTTGATCCCTAATAGCTTGGTACTGACATATTTTGCTAAAGAGAGGAAATTACTGTCTTTGTGTTAGCGGTTAAAGCTATATAGGAAACAGTTCAGAAAAAATAATGAAATCATCAGATTTCGATTTTTTCATTGGGTTGTTATGACTGGAAACGCTATGAATTTTAACACTTAGTCCTATATGTTTTATACTCAACACCGCTCAGATGAGAAAAAGTTTGATTGCCTGTTTCCATGATCTGTAAGGATATTCGCGCGGAAGATAAGAGATCACGCTTTTTTTAAAAAGAACTTCAAAGCCAAAACTCGCATGAAAACGTTCGATCAGCACAGGATTTGTTCAGCTGGAAAGAGTAAGCTATAAGATTCAAATCAATAGTTCCTGATGACAACATATCGTTTCCAATTTACAATGCAGAAGTATAATCAGTTTTTCATTTGCACTTTTAAGCCAAGAAACCGCCCGTGTGGTGTCAAAAAGATCATAATCCAGCCACCACACACGCGTGGAGCAAATATGGAATAAATACTCATTGCCCAGTTACTTACTGAAAGTTATTGATACACTGAGGTACCGTCGATGACAACCAAGAAAACAGTAGAGGTATTGTTAGAGGAAAGCAAGTCGTTTCTTTGAAAACCAAGGGACACTGAAGTACACAGTAAAAGCAAAGCATTGTTTCTTTACATACAGCACCAATATGCAAAAAAAAATCTATGTATTGTCTCCATAATACTTTGTAACCTACTTGCAGAAAAGCACAAAAGCTCTGCAGCATTATAACGTGAAAAAAAATTCAGAGCTATTTTGGTCAGAGATAAGATAACGGCAGGTTTTTCCTTTTGCTGCAGAAGATTGAAGTCGACCATCTTCGGATTTTCTTCGAACTAACTGTTTTGAGCAGATCGGAAGTCGCTATGAGGACGTTTGAGAGAACAGCTATGAGAAAGAAGAATTTCTTGATTCGGGTTTATACCAGTAAACATACCTTGTTACGCATTTTTGGTTGAGGTAACATTGGCGATTTCGCACATTACAATATTCAAAGCAAATTCCTGATTCAATTCGAGAAGTCTTGCCGTAGTTGTTCTAGTAATGACGCCGATATTAAGTTATGAGAGTTTTGAGATTGAGCGCTCTCAAACGCGGATTTTGTTCTTACATGCGGGCCCTGCCACCAAACCACAAACAAGACCAACTTAATCAATTGATCATTCCTAGAAAAACAGTATCAAGGCATCAAACATCCTGAATACGTAATTAATCTGCTTAAAGACCCTGCCGTCCCTTTATGGTCATGCTTTGTACTTGAGACCCATGTGCTACAGCTATTCCATCAACGCGCAAAGCACTGCACAGACATTGCGGCGGCAGACACTAGTCAAATGTGCGAATGTCCATAAACCATCTGCGAGTCATTGACTTCAATAAAAAAGAAAAAAAAAACGGTGAAAGGTACACCCCAGCACGGCTAAGCAAAATGTAAAGATGTTGTTGAATAAGGTCTAAGATTACCTGATTAATCACATCAAGGCAGACGGAGCCGCTTGCTTCATCAATGTTCGGATGGAAGATTTTATTCATAAATCCTATCGAAGGCGATTTGAATGGGTACTTCTCTGGCAGCTCAACACGTACCCGCCAAACGCCTCCTTCATATGCAGCTACAAGAAAAGAAAGACATATATGGAACACAGAAGAAAATGAAAAATAACTATGCAACCAAAAAAGGCTACTGACTTCCAGAGGGTCCATAAAATTTGACATTGAATTCATTGAGTCCGCCTGTGATATTGACCTCGTGCTTGCTTTCGATCCTTGAACAGAAAATCGTAAATGATATTAGCAACATACATACAGTCGAGTAGATTTCCTGCTTAATATAGTGTCCCTGCAGATGCGACAACGCTGGGGCGTCAATAATTGCCTGACGGGTTCCCGAGATAGTGTTTTCCAGTGTTTTCTTTGCTTATTTTATGCTTTTTAGGTGATTCGTTGCTGATAAAGAAGAAGAGGGTAAGTTAGAGAGTACTTTCTGTTTTCTGAGAAGTTCTATCATCGCATATTCACAGATATCCACGTGGAAGCAGTTCGCGTCAGCTTCTTGTTATTTTTTTTTTGTCACTGCATGTCCCTTTCTTCTTGTGAGGTACTTCTTCAAACGCTAGTGGGTTTTTACGATTGACTTATTGTCTTTATCACATGAAGTACTTGATTAAAATGCTAGTTCTTATGAATGAAAGCCGAAGTTGCTGCAAGACAAGCCAACTAGCGTTCAAAGAAACGCCTCACAAGAAGGAGGAGCTAAGAAGAAGTGACAGAAGAAAAGGAAATGACAAAAAAACAGACAAGAAGCTGACGCGAAATGCCTCCACGTCGTGGATATCTGTGAATATGCGATGATAGAACTTCTCAGAAAACAGAAACTACTCTTTAACTTACCCTTTCCTTTTTATCAGCAACGAGTCAACTGAAAAGCATGAAATAAGCAAAGAAAACACTGGAAAACACTAACTCGGGAACTGCAAGGCATTTATTGACGCCCCAGCGTTGTCGCGTCTGCAGGGACACTATATTAAGCAGGAAATCTACTCGACTGTACGAACTGCCCAAAGATCATGCAAAAATTATTGCTACTTCCAAAAGTAGAAATTATCTCATCAACCAGCATACACATCCAGAGAGTCATAAAAATTACCAGCAACACACTGATGGCCCGATTTGGCGCATCATATGTAGAGTAATGCAGGATCACACGATTAACATCAATGACTACTGAGGGCGCAAAGCAACCGTGTTCAGAAGCATTTATCTTGATAGCGAATAACTTTGCCAGGAATGCAAGAATGGCTAAATAGCAGCTTGTTGAGTAGGTGATAGATTGCTGGACAAGTTCTTATTAAATCTTTTGAAAACTGTTATTATTGGTAAGTTTCGAATCACACCCCAATCGTTCAGAGACCCGTCATACTCGCCGAAAAAAAAGCCCAAAAAGCGCATGAAAAAGTCCAAAATCGTAGAAAGGGCCGAAACGTCCACTTTCGCGCGCAAGTGATAAATACATTTTTTGCTTCATTTTCTCTCGTCTGCTCATCAACAATGTCCAAACTCTAGCAAAAGTTCCAGGCCGGATAAAGCTTTTCAATGTAACTAAGCAAATGTAGTTTCTAGGAAACTGCATGGTATTTTAGCTTCTCATGCAGCCCAACTATTTTGTCTTTGTAATGTTCGTGATTATCCGGTTCGTCCTGTCTAGATCTTGGTCTGTTTCAAACTATACTTTCTGGGAATTGATGCCAAGGGCTCACGACCTGGCTGCGTATTTCGTACCCATCCGGCTAGGAACTTTTGGTAATTTTGACATAGTTTTAAGTGCAGACGACAAATGAAGCGAGATACGTTTCTATTACTTGCGCGCGAAAGGCCCTGGCCAGACTTCGCTCAAAAGCGCCCAAATTTCTCTGTCTCTTCGCTTCCTCGCGTGAGGAGAGATGAAAGAGATTAGAGAAATTTGGGCGCCTTTGAGAGAAGTCTGGCCGTGGGCCAAAGGGGGTTCCGGCTCTTTCTGGCGCATTTAGGTTTTATCGGCGAAGTATGACGGGTTTCTCACTGCACGACGCCACGTCTTTGGAACAACTCCCAAAAAATAGCATGTACAAGACGAAGAAGCGCTATTACCAAAGTCCTGAGTCACCGATATCATCAGTAGAATTTTGAGGAAGAATGTAAGATGGATCTCATTTGAGCGGTCAGTTAGCCAGTATCCCCTTTGCCGAGTTAAGATACAAGTCAAGTCACCATACGAGCTGCGACTGGCTAAGTAACAGCCCGCGCCACTCCCCCAAGCAGCACTCTTTATTCAAGAAAGCATATCTTCGACATTTTCAGAAGAAGCGATTGCTAAGAGAACGGCCATAGGTTGCTGGCAACGGTTGTCGGTGTTGTCGGGGTTGTCGGTGTTGTCAGAGTTGCCGAGGTTGCCGGTCACTGTAGGACCTCATAATAGCCACCACGTTTCGCGAGCTCTCTAATGTCTCTGACCCCGACAACCCCGACAACACCGACAACCGTGCAACCTATGGTTCCCTAAGACAAGAGCATAGTAGACTGTGTAGAGCAGAGTAGTATTGTTTACCGAAAGACGGTCCTATCTCGCAAGTCCAACATGAACTAGCCTTTGGTGGCCAAACTCCTTGACAAGCCACCTATTTCGAAAACATTGATGTACCAAAAGCTTGAAAGGAGAAAATAGATTATTTTTGACCAATTCTGGCAATTGACAGGCCTTACATAGGATAAAAGATGATTATAAGGGCCCTACAACCGTTTACCTCGTGTAATGAATTACCGTTGAACTATTAGTATTAAGTATTAGTAAGCAAAGATTACTACTATTAGCCTTGACCTCGTAAGCTTGAAGCCATTGGTCCTCCGAGATTAGTCCTTTGAGTAAATCAAACCCATTTCACATGAAAAGAGAAAAAATGAAGACCTACGCCAACATGTCATGGGGTTAAGTTCTGACTATCGAAACATTCTGTGCACAGTTATCGATTTTGTCCAGTGCTTATATTTCAAGCAAAGACCTCTACCCAGAAAGAAGCTCAACTCGATCAACATATCCCTATGTAATCAGTAATCGATCACGAGCCAGCTGCAGTCTTTGAACTTGACTACAAAAAGAAGAGCACACAAACCCATGACAGGTTTGAAAGAACGCACGTCCAATGACTTCACTAACAAACCATGCCTTGAAGCCGCAAGAAGTTTCGAGGCACCAGCCATACACGTCTTCACGTCTCGCGGTTTGCACTGCACTTTTTGTTGCTTAATCACATGTCATGCCATCAATCCCATGACACCGCAGAGATGGCACAAAGAAATGATTTCACATAGAGTTAAACCGTTTACATCCAGTCAGTTGTGTAGAATATGGTTCATCTCGGGCAAATTGATAGGAAACCATTCACTTGAGTTTTATTGCCTTTCAAAGTGTACTTGATCACGACTGTGACAACAACGAGGTTCAAACCGGTCCTTGTGGTGCAAAACATTAGATCAAAATAAAAACAACGGGCGTTGAATAGACTTATTGCAAATTTTCTGTGCAAAACCAGAAATTAGGGATATAGTATGCGTCAGCTGAGTATACCTTATATCAGATGAACTACTTCGAAGAGGGTAGAAGATGATATACGTCACTTCCACATCGAGCAAAGAGCTGCCATTTCTTGACAAGCTATCACGAACTATGAACAAATGAATGCCTCCCAAGAATTCGAGAAAGATATTATTTTAGATATTGAGGCTAGTTCTTAGCAAAAAGCTCGTTGACCTCTATAGTCCTCGAAAAAACGAAACAACACGAATTTTTAATGCTTGAGAATAAACCTCTAAGAATTGAGAAAATATTAGTCTCTCGCAAGTCTTGTTTATACATTGCAACCTTGATGCAACAATTTCGAATAGCTATTGATTGCAAAGAAAACTCCTATTTCATCCTGAGCAAAGACTTCGAAACTAAAGCTAAATGTGACCAAACTTTCAACTCTTTTGATAATCTACCTAGTGTTATATGTGGTGGCTAAATGAGCTGAGCCAATCTATGAGAATAAGAGACATATATCAAACATCCCAAAACCATTTTTTTCACCATTTTGGAGAGATATTGTCTTACCCTCAACTTTCACTGCTCATTCGCATCTGACCAAACGATGCCCCATCCACAAAGAGTTAATCGGCCGATATACACATATATGATGCCCAATTTCGTCATTATTACCTGCTCAAATGATGAAAGTAAGGTAGAATTTGCAAATGAGATTCCTTGTACGATGCAGTATGCACTTCAGCGACAATTTCGTTTTCTAACTCAAAAGCAACCAAGTATGTAACGGCTCCCCTGGTTTTCCCCTGATCAATAAACCTGCATTAGTTTATATCGCATCCATGTTATTGATGGCGCACATGATTTTCACAAAATGAACTGGCTCAGTAACAACTAATCATACTTTGATTCTACCGCTGCTACCGGCATAGATTGGCTTTGAGTTCACAAGCGCTAGATGTGTGCTAGCGAGCAAATATGACAGTACAAAAAGCATTTTGCTGATTGGCGCTGATCTGACTATCGAACAATTTCACTGCTTATTAGAATACTGTGTGCAAAAACAAGAATGATAAGCAAATAAAATGCAAAGCGGTGAAAATCGATCACTGTCCAAACAGCAATCGATGGGCATTCTATACATGAAGCAGATAGCTTTAGATGAGATAAAAGAAGACTCACAGCTTTATCACATCAGTGTCCATGCGACGCTTGCCAGAGCTGGGCGACGACATGACTCTACTTGTATCGGATAATAGAAGAAGAAGGCAGTAAACGAGCTGGTTGAGAGGCTAGGCAAGGCAGTCGGAGACAATGTCTCAGATGCGCCGATGACGCGACAACACAGAGCGCTAACTCCTCACCTGAAAAGCAAAGCTGAGCACAATCAGTCGTACCAAGTGTGGATATAATTGCCAATGCAAAACGACAACGTTCTCCCCCAAATAAGTCGATACAGCGCGCATGAAAACGATGTCAACACATCGGCGAACGCTAACATCCGCTCGTCATGAGATACAGCAACATCCCCTGAGTGCGCTTTACCCTCAGGAAGAATGAACCCACAGTCGACTGAGAGCAAACCAGCTTTTAATTGGGCTCGACGGGGCAAAACAGCACAAGGGGTGCGAGCAAAGTGCGCCGTGTCATGTGATGGGGCGGTGTCGACGGCGATGGATACTGCCGGGCCCGGCTGCCTCCGTGCATCCAAACAAAACGTGCTCCGCGGCCAGAGGCGCAGCGCCACTTGGCGCGGAGCCAGGAGCTTGCGCACATTAATTTTTCAAAGCTGTGGTTGTGATTGTCAAGCGTTTTATTTTGTTTGGAGTCCTCTTTTGCAGGTGTTGAGTTGTGCTATACTAGATCTGTTCGATTCTCGCGAAAGGTTGTGACGGTGCTGTTTAGTTACTGCGCATTGGAACGCCTCCTTCATTACCTCAGCCAGAACAAAACTTCTTATCAACACACGCCCCACCCACAATACATCAAATTTGGTTGAGATTTCATACTTCTTCTTTCTTTTCAGGCCGTTCAGAACGAGGGCGAAAACTGCAGAAAATCAACCAATAAATCGATAAAGCTCGGTTTGCTTAGAGGAAAATGGCGTATTAAAACATGCCTACTCTATACATTACGTCTGCCAATTTGGGGTCAGATCCATGATTCCTTTTCTTCCTTTAGGAGATCACAATAAAATTGCTAAGCGAAAATAAATCAATAAATCGGTAGGGGCAGCCGTATGCCCAGAACAAAATCCCGTATCAAACACGCCCCACCCCACTCATTATGTATGCCTAATTTGGTTGAGATTTATCTTCATCTTTATCTCCGTTAACACGTGAGTGTAAAAAGAATAAAATATACTTTGAAAGCCAAGAGACCAGTGAACCAGAGGTAGGGACAAAAGAAAAAGAATAAGTAGAAACAACAACACCAAACAAACGAACAAATTCCTCATATACATATGTACCGTCTGCGCCCCAGAGAGGTTCCCATGTGAACCAGCGTGCGTACGTGGTGCAACGCTGCCTTTCGCTCTTTTTGACACGTTTCTCCCGAGATTTCAACGAAAGTGCCCGATGTTAACACGTTCAAAAGTGCGAAAGGCAGCGAGATGACGTGGTACCTATGGGAACCTCTCTGGGGTGCAGACGATATATGTATATATATATATATATATATATATATATATATATATATATATATATGTATATATATATATATATATATATATATATATATATATATATATATATATATATATATATAACTGAATGTCTGTCTTCTATCTGTCTGTGTGTACGTACAGTGCGCCTCGGGCATACCTCAAACGATTTCAGTCGCGATATGAATTGGCAGTACTCCAGTTGCTTATAACTCGTCGCGAACCCAATTTGAGCACACTGAAAGTAGCTCATTTTATCGACTCATTAAAGTCGAATACACCAAACATTAGTGGTCTACGAGTGTTGGGTTTGAAGAGATCCGGCAAATGGCCAAATCGCGTGGCGACTAAGATTGCGACAGGTATGCCCAGGGCCTAAGGCAAGGGACATACTTCATGCGATTTCAGCCGCCACGCGATCTGGCAATTTGCCATATGTCTTCAAATTCAATACTGGAAGACCTCAAATGCACAGCATGTATAACTATCGTAGGTTGATAAAATGCCCCCTCTTCCGTACATTCAGAAACCCCGTAGGATGAGTTATGAACATTTGAAGTAGGCAAATCGCGTGGCGACTGAAATCGCGTGAGGTATGCCCGAGGCCTAAGGGGGCCAGCGCCGCGTAGTGCAGTCACACATCTTCGCGCGAGCGCTACCATGTGCTGCAGCGTGCAGGGACCATGCCGCGCAAACGGCACGGTCCTTCTTCTAGCCACTCTTCCTGCTTCTTTCTCAGCTTAAACGCTGTCCTGCTTCCAAATTTCCGAGGTTTTCCTATCTGGAACTCTACTTCGGTATCCCTGAGATCTCTTGAAGTATCATCGCGCGAATGGAAGACATAATGGAGGTTTGAGGTATAAAAGAAGATCTAATCTATAAATCATTTCATTTAGGCATTCTGAGAACGGCTGTGCTCTTCCTTCAGCCGATGCTCATTATTCCCACTAGAGAAGTACCACCAAGAAATCTACCTGCTGAAATGCGTATCCGATACAGATCATGAAGACGTCCACGGCTCCAGGACCAGATCATCTTTCCGTCGAACTTCTCCGAGCAGGAGGACACCGTCTCCACGAGATTCTAGCGTCGCATCTGACATCTTATCTTCAGAAGGAGGAGATTTCCGACCTAAGGAGATTATCAAGAACCGTCCTTGTCTTCAAGAATAGCACGGGAGGATCTTCGGAACTGACGTCCAATATGTCTGCTGAGTGTGCTCTATAAACTTTTCACAAAGATTATCCTCGCTCGCAGATCTAGACACGGGATAAAGCCCAACCCCAAAAACAAGCTGGATTCCGCCAGGAATTCAGTGCATGGACCACATCCAATCGTTTCGAGGGTCATAGAGGTCTGCCCGGAATATCGACTGCCTCTCGCCTGACCTTCGTCCACTACGAGAAAGCCTTCGACAGCGTCGAAATGAACGCCATTCCGTCAGGCGTTAGTCGATCAAAAAGTAGACCCAGCTTACGTGAGGACACTAGCCGACTGCTACAAGGACTGTATTCGCGGCAAACTTCTATGACCCTGAAACCGTCTGGATGTGGTCCATGCAACTGAATCCCTTGCGGAATCCAGCTTGTTCTTGGGGTTGGGCTTCATCCTGTCCTAGAGATGCGAGCGAGAATAATCTTCGTGAAAAGTTTGTAAAGCACATTCAGCAAGCATATTGGACGTTAGTTCCGAAGATCCTCCCATTCGCCATTCTTGAAGAGAAGGACGGTTCGCGAAGTTTTCCTCTGGTCGGGAATCTTCTCCTTCTGAAGGTAAGATGTTAATTGCGACGCTAGAACATCGTGTGACGGTGTCCTCCTGCTCGCAGAAGTCGATGGAAAGATTATCTGGTCCTGAAGCCGTGGACGTTTTCAAGGTCTGTATCGGATACGCATTTCAGCAGGTAGATTCCTTGGTGGTACTTCTCTAGTGGGAATAACGACCATCGGCACTGGTGTTGATGAAGGATGAATGCGGAAGAGATTGGTGTAAAAGTTTTTTACAATAGATTCCATTATAGCGGGAAGAAGTCGGAGTCCTGTCTTCGTTCAGTAGTGCAGCTAGCGGTACATGATATTCGCAGAGGTCCCTTCGGCACTTCTTGAGACTTCGTCTTTCTTCAGCTGCTTCCAGTATCTTGGCTTGCCTGTACTTCCTGAGATCCTCCTGCAAAGCTGTTCTGCATCTGGCGTCAGTCGCTCGAGATGGGTTTCATTCGGATTCTGCCTTAGAAACCTTTTTCTTTCGAGCAGTTTTTTGGTGGTCTTCTAAATACGTTGCAAGTTCTTCGCAGAAGTCCCGAAAGCACACTCTCCGCCTAATAATCCTTTCAGAAGCCAGTCGTACGTTGGGTCCTCCTCGATGGGTCAGTCACAACTTGATATGAGCTCTTCTAAACTGTTACGTCATATACGACTTCTTTTCTTCTTGCGGCAATATGGCAGACTTCCTTTTCCAGCTTTCGACGGGATCATACCTTCGCTTCAAGAAGGCAACAATCGGAGGCATTGAAGAAGGATTGAACTACTGAGACATCGAACAAGCTCCACCTTCGTGGTGAGAATGTAGTCGATCTCTGCATGAGTCGCGTTGGGCGATTTCCAAGTTCACCGGCGATGTTCTTCCTCCATGAAGATGGAATTTCCATGGAAAAGTCGTGCGGCCGAGAGAAGCCCAACGAGACGGTCAGTTTTCGTTCCGGAGCTCATATCCAAACTTCCCGATCCTATATTCCTTTTCTAGTGACATCCCGATTTTTGCATTGAAGTCGCCCACAACATTCTTGTAAAAGGACTTTTCGTTGCGAACGGCCTGCTCCACGTCTTCGTAGAAAGCATCTAGCTCTGAACCGTCAGCTGCTGATGTTGATGAATAGCAGTTGATGATGCTGATGGTCTTCTGTGGAGGTCATAGTCGTAGGATGGTAGTCGAGGTGGCAGGATCTCATGCGAATCGACAAGTTGGACGACAGATGGGTGGACGACGAAGCCAACGCCTGTTTCGTGATGGAACCTTTTCACCACGATAGATGAGGGTCCCATCACTCATCTTTCGCACTTCCTTCTCCCTGGACTTCGTTCCCTGCAGAGCGATGACGTGGTATTTGATGTGTTTTGCAGCGTCGAGAAGAGCGTGGAGATCGGCGTTTGTGTAGACTGTCCTGGCATTGTAGGTGCAGAGCATAAGGCAGTCTCCATGGCTTGTCCTCCAGGCAGACGTGTCGTTTTTGTCCGATCCGAAAGGCGCCCTGACTACGCTGACATCGTTTTTGCTACCGCCCGGCGCCGTAGGCGAGATTCGATGTGCAGGGTTTATCTCTCTTTTTGCTGATCGAGTAATGAAAATTTTTCCCTTACAAGAGCAGATTTACTAGACCAACTCTCGATTTCAAGGGTGCGATGGCTGACCCGGGTGTGGAGCGGGGAGGACCGCCTAGCGACCGGAGAAAGTCAGATGGCGGGGGATCTGGCCTGGTCGGCTTTAGCTAGATATCCGGCCGAATCCGGAAACGTCGAACTTCTTTATAGCTTGAGAGGCTCTACTAAGGTGTGCACTCGGCTGAGCATCGCAGTTCAACACCTAGTGTGACCCCCACGCCACGTTGAGGCGGCCAACCGTTGTGGGGGAGGGGGTCGACAAGGCGACACTATTTCGCCGAAATTGTTCACCGCGGCTTTGAAGTGGGTAATGAAGTCACTAAATGGGACGAGAGAGGCATACGAGTCAGAGTTGCAATAGTGGGAGCAATGAATCTTACCCCCCCCCCCTCCCCTCAAGTTTGAGCCAGAACCCGGATGACCC